CTGCCGGGGGTCCTGCCAACCCTTTGTCCTGTGCTGTTGGAGGTCCCGCCGTCTACTCTCCTGCCGGGGGTCCTGCCAATCCTATGTCCTGTGCCGTTGGAGGCCCCGCCGACTACTCTCCTGCCGCGGGTCCTGCCAACCCTTTGTCCTGTGCTGTTGGAGGTCCCGCCGACTACTCTCCTGCCGGGGGTCCTGCCAACCCTTTGTCCTGTGCCGTTGGAGGCCCCGCCGACTACTCTCCTGCCGGGGGTCCTGCCAACCCTTTGTCCTGTGCTGTTGGAGGTCCCGCCGACTACTCTCCTGCCGGGGGTCCTGCCAACCCGTTGTCCTGTCTCGTTGGAGGTCCCGCCGTCTACTCTCCTGCCGGGGGTCCTGCCAATCCTATGTACTGTGCCGTTGGAGGCCCCGCCGACTGCTCTCCTGCTGGGGATCCTGCAAATCCCGTGTCCTGGTCCTCTTCCGTGGGGGATCCTGCCAAGGCCTGTCCCACCAGCTCCGACACCGGGTCCTGCCCGGTCTCTAGCACTGTCCCGTCAGCGCCTTCCTGCCCGGCCTCCGGAGCTCTCTGGTCTTCGCCCTCGAGCCCGACCCCCTGACTCTTCCTGCTGCGGTCCTCGCCCTCGGGCCCGGCCCCCTGACTCTTCCGGCCGCGGTACTCGCCCTCATGCTCGGCCCCCTGACTTTTCCGGCCGCAGTCCTCGCCCTCATGCTCGGCCCCCTGAGTTCGCCCGCGGTGGCCTTCGCCCCTCCATAACCCCCATTTTGGACTCTGCCTTGCCCCCGGGCCGTCCGCCCGAGACCCCTTCCTGGTCCTCTGCCTTGCCCCCGGGCCGTCCGCCCGAGACCCATTCCTGGTCCTCTGCCGTGCCCCTGGGCTGTCAACCCAAGCCCGTCCTCCAGACCCCCTCCACCCACCCTGGTGGCTTAGTGGTGCTTTCGCTCTACCGTGACACTAATGCCCCTTTCACACCAAGGCTTTTCCCGTTCTAGCTCCGTGCTAGAGCTTTTCTGGTTCGGAACCGGTTCTTCGGTTCAGCTCCCGCTCTGTTCACACCGCTCAGAGCCCGACTGGTGCTGCGTCATCGTTTGCTTGCCTGCTTCTTAGGGTGCGTTCACACCTGCCTTGTATAGTCCGGTTGAATCTAACCCTGGTGCGTTTAGCCGCTTGGTGCGGTTCATTTGGGTCGGTGTGAACACAATCCGAGACCTATGAAGTGAACTAAACAACCGGACTCTGGTCCGCTAAAATAGGTGGTCTCGGAACGCTTGCTTGCGAACTCTGGAGCGCTTCATTGCTGGTGTGAACGCAGTCCGCACCAAAACATAGGAAGCGTAGTATTTACGTGTCACAAGAACGCGGATGTCTTCAAAAATCTTTAGCGAAAGAGTCTTTCAAGACATCCGCGGTTGTTTAGTTAAAGAGTGAAGCAGAATTAAGTGTTGAACAGTGTCGTGTAAAGTAAAAATTCTCCGTCAGCTACATAAAAGTAAGAACACCCGTCGTCGGTGAAACGCCCCTCCTTACTGCAGAACGTCTCCTTATATGTGCTATAATATTTTTTAACGGACGTTGTCTGATTATATAATCATATACGCGGGCCGCTAGTGTCTGTTGATCTCCAGATTAACAGCAGCATGAGAATAACCTGCCGAAAGTGCCGATGCTCCATGGCGGAGGCTCCGGTAGAAATTGCCGGGATTTGCGTTTTTACCCCCTTAATGTCTGACCAATGGTTGAACAGCATTTCCGTGCACATGACTTGTGTTTAAAGTTTATAGTCCGTTTGAGTTTTGCCCGTGTGAATGTAAACCGAACCTTCTGAAAAATGAAACAATGTAACAAACTGTGGTCTGGTGCGCACCAGAAAACGGACTATTAGGTGTAAATGCACCCTTAAAGCCAAACCGCGCGAAACCCCCTCACATCGACAACAACAACAATGGCCGATTGTATTGAAACGCTACTCGTTTTGCTCGAAACGAAATGGAAGATATGGGACGACTTGACTACCAACTTTACAGTCGTTACATGACATTCAAAAGTTTTTTTACAATCATCATCAACTTCAACGATGATTCCATAGGAGAAAGAAGGTAAATATACGTCCTATTCGATGGCGTTAGAGCTAGCTGTTGTTAGCCTCTGCATGCGCCAAGCTCAAAATACCCAGCTTTGCAGCATTAATTACTATGGTATAACCAGAGTTGTAATAATATTACTTTTGTCGGTAACGGAGTAGTGTAACGTGCTACTTTTATAATTCAGTAATCACACTACAGGTACTAACATTGCCCCGACACGCGTTACTTCGTTACTTACTAAAAATCAGTCATAATCAAACCTCAAACACCTGCAAAGAACACATGCTAAGGTGAAGCTAACGCACAGCTATTTCTTGTTTGTTTATATCACGTAGTCTGTTCTTCTTCTCTGTCTTCCGGTTGTTATCTGTTTTGAATGACGAATACACACTACCGCCGCCTGCTGGTAAGGAGAGTTATTGCCACTCACGCATGCGCAGTTCGTACGTGCTCGGCTGAAGTCTTTGCGGTGTCTGGTTCCAGTGCGACACATGGCCAACACGCAGGAGAACACGCCGACGCAACAGCGTGAGCAGAGATAGACTGCGCAAAATATACAGATAGCAGGAGACAGAGGACAGCCATGGTCAGATAGGAAAACATTCAGGATCTGGATCAGTCTTATGCGACAATGGAAACTGAACTAAAGAGAACATTTGAAACTTTAGCAGTCTGCGTGATCTGCCTGCAGGGAGGGGCGGGCCGGCCCTGCGAGTAAAGTAACGAGTTACTTTATGTAGAGAGTAACGAAGTAGTGTAATATATTACTTTTTTTAAAAGTAATATGTAATGTGTAATATATTACTTTTTTTTAGTAACGACCCCATCTCTGGGTATAACATTAAAACTGATTCTCAATGTTATTTCCACAGATCATGTTGAAGCTGGCGGAAAGGCGGATGTCGCGTGTTATTTGGACACAGCCCAGATCTGACGTAAGCGTGACGCATGCGGTGCTTGCTTTCTAGACCGACAACTTTTTGGTGCTTGAAACTAACCGGATTCCGGAGCTTAGAGGTGGCTCCGCTGCGGTGTGAACATGAAAAACTGGTGCTTTTCAAGCTCCAGCTCCGAACCGGCCCTGGAACCACGTTGGTGTGAAAGGGGTAACATTTGTAATACAGTGGGTTACTGGGCTTATTGCACTTTTCATCATTAGGCACGTTCACACCGCAGTACTTTTCCCACTTTAGTTCATGAGAACTTAGTTCATGAGAACTCTTTAGTTCTCATGAACTGTACTAACCAAGTACAGATTGCGTTCACATCGGAATAAGTTCCTGGGGAAGGATTAGGCAAATGAAGCCGCTGACGTCACTTCTTGTTCTTCTGCTTTGGGTTTACTGGCAGGCCGCAAACAACTTCACGGCGTATACTGCCAGTCCCCGGCCGGAAGTCCCCGGAGTTAGGGACTGGCTGCTGGGACTCCCAGCAGCTTCTACTGAAGCCTTCCGAGTAAATCGCCAGAACGCCGACACCTCCTCGTCTCCACCGCTCCCATGTTTTCTTTTGTGTTGCCATAAGTTAGTCTCTCTGCGTTTGTGTGCTGGGATAATGCTAATAATGCAAGCAAGGATAATAAAATGGCGGCTTCACAAAACTTTTTTTTAGTTTTACGGGGCGTTGTTTGCATTCCGCCCAGCCAATCAGACATAGGAACCTTTGTATCCCACGAAAGTACCTGTTCTCTAGCAGGGACGGAAAAGGGGGTAAAAAAGGTTCTGATGAACTCATTTTAGTTCCGGCTCTTTTTGGTGTGAACGCGACATTTCGGAACTATATCGGAACTAAAGTGGGAAAAGTATTGCGGTGTGACAATTTACACACTGAACCGGAAACGGAGACATAAAAGAGACGACAAAAACATTTATAATTATAAAAGTAAGATGACACTATCGTTGGCAATATGATATTCTCATAATTAATAATAGAAATACATTTAAAAATAAATAATAGAATAATCCATGCAATAATTACGTTATAATCAATTAAAAACATGTACTATCCTACAAATATAATTTTCCTAAAAATGAACTTGATGACCACACACACACACACACACGCGCGCGAAGAGCAGCACATCACTGACGGTGTGAGCTTTACCATAACCTGCTTATATAATGCAGCAGCAGCACAGCGGGGAATACACTGCTTTCCTCAGAGAGGAGAGTACAGAGGAGAGTAGGCCTACATCATCGACAGCTAATATCATGGTTTCACTCCGAGACTGATGATAACCTTTTCTCATGATAACCTTTCAAACTGTAGTTCCTGAATATTGCCTTTTGGAAAATACACATTCAAAGTAAATATGGACGTTTTAAATTTGACAGTAATTTACTAAATGTGGCATAGCCTACATATAAAGATATGTTCATATAATGTAAACCACCTGTGTTCTACGGCACTGTCTGTCAATAGAAGGAGGATGTCGGTACAATTTCCAAAATATAAGTCAATACATTTATTTATAAATCCAATTAATATGATTATTTGGTGTGTCATATGTATGCCGATTTAAAGCACTGCTTCAATAAATACGAAACATATAACTGAAAGCTCATTCTGTCATGTATCCGCTTTAATAAATAGGCGAGATCAAATACTCCAGCATTTCCCTAGTGCAGTTTGGCGGTAAAGGCAATGCGTAAGGGGATTCCACGCTGCGCGTTTCGACTTGTGGAAGTGTTGACTAATTAAGACAGACAAGACTACCTGTCCGTTCATTTGACCCTATATGCCTATATGTGTTAACGCTACCAATTAAGGAATCATTTTGAACAATGTTTAAGGTGCTGAAACAAGGATGCGTTACATTCAATGCCAAGAAGTTAAAGGGGAACATAACAAGAAACAACCAGGAGCCCCAAACAGCAGTAAACACTACAAGAGTTAAAGGTAAAACTCTAGACACTCACCTTCAATGACACAGCCGTCCAGCACGGTGCTTAAGTAGAAAAAATATTTGACAGAGATGGCTTTGGAGATGTTGTTGTTACAGCAGAAAGCTCACTCCGCTGCTGTTGAGAGGTCTACTTTTCCTTAAAACTGTCCAACGCCTCCAATGTATCAAAAAGCGGCCAATGCGAAGTCATGTAAAGCAGCCAGTCTGGTGATGCGTTTAAGTACCATGACACGGACAGAAAATAAGCTACGATCAACCCACTCCTCTGTCCAAGGGTCTTTGAAACAGCCTACTCGGTAATATCCGGATCACTTTGGAGTGTAACTGCTGAATACGATTATAATTAAGGCTACCGCTACTTTAGCTTTAACAATACATGCAGGGAATATGTAGCCTAATTCAACTTTTATCAATGGGTGCGGGAGAGTGTGTAGAAACTTTACTGCATGAACGAACAATAATAATGTATATAATGTAGACATATGCTTATAGGTTTACACTGCTTAGATTAGAAGACTTGTTTGTTTCCCTTCCAGTAGCGATATTTTTCTGACACGAGTTAAAAATGTCATTTTTTTCCCCATGGTACTTGAACGCAGCAGCAGGCAGTATGTGACAGACAGGTCGTGCAGTGACTCCGAGCTGAGTCACAGCGTCGTGTCCCGCCCACACCGCGGTGGCGGCCAATAGAGATTTCTGCGGAAGCGGGTACAGTTACGCAGCCCCCACACTTATTATACATCCATGCCCCCACACCTCTGTGTGTTTGGTTTATATCCAGGTGTAAAACTAAATAGTTATATGTGTATTCATTATACAAACATGTTTGAGGCAGGGTTGGGAGGGTTACAATAAAATGTATTCCGTTACAATCACTACGTGATAAAGATGTAATCAGAACCTAATCTGAGAATCAAAATAGCCTACTAGTAACCTTATTACTCTCTATTACGTTAAAACCAGGTAATAGGAGAGCTTCTGAATGCAGGCCACATTGTATTACGTTAGCTTAAAGTAAAAATATTAAGTTCTACATTTTTGCTTTAAAAAATGTATGTTAATGTTGTCAGTGACACCTGTGCTGTTTCTACCAAGACCACTCAACATGTGTGCTTATCAGAAACGTGTAAATAATAAGATCATGGTCAAATTAAAGGTTTCTTCAACTGAAATCCTTCATCATGTATTCCTCTGCCCCTCAAACATCTTCTGATTTTAAGGTTGTCTTTTTTCATTAGACACTATTACTGACATGTGTTGTCCCGCTGCGCCCCCAGGTGGTGGAGATTGGTATTTTCTCACTTGCACGGTTTAGTGGGATTGTTTATTTTCCTACTTAGATTTTTTTCCAGTTGCTAACACACTAAAATGAGACATAAAGCACAATTATTTAAACTCACACTCAAAGAGCAAAACCTCAGCTCAGATCTCCAAAAGGAGACTTCCTACATTGGAGTAGCGTCAACAAGGGTAAAGTGTCTTGTACTATAAAGGAAGTCAAGTGTGTGCCATTTGTTTTGTATTGGTAAGTGTTTATGTAGTTCTGAGTGCAGTGCTTCAGTTTGCAAGATGTATGAGGTATTTTGCACTTACAAACATAGTAAAATACTAATAATGTAGTTGCAGTTACCACTAATCCACTACTAATAGTATCTCCTGGGTAAAAACATGTCCTCCAGATTACACATGTAAGAAAACTTTTAATAATGAAATAAAAGAACAAAGAAAACGAAGAACTTCCTGATCCTTTTCCCCTGACTGTTTCTGGTTGAGACACCACCAGAGCCGATGTGGGCGTCAGCGGTCGAGGGTGGAGAAGAACCTTCACCAGTGGAGGGACTTTTGAGTGCAGCTTTTGTCATGGCTGGAGCAGATTTATCAGCTGCGGCTGTGTCTCTGTCAGCTGTAACAGCGTCATAAAGGACAGTCGTTGCTCTGTTTGAGTCTCCACCACCAAGTAACCTTTTGACAGTGAAGCAACGGGGAGCTGAGACCTCCTTCTTTGGAACAACTGTCATGGTGTCATCTGTAGAAACAGGGGCACCAACTGAGGCCTCATCAATGGAGAAAACAACAGCTACGTTTTCTACACCCACACAGGGTAGGATTTTCACGGCGGCCATGGCCGTCGTAGCCCCTCTGTCTGGCCGTTATGCCCCACAAATAATTGTAGCCTACGTCCTACGGCCACCATGGCCTTTGGGCCCCTCACACTGTTAAAATATCGAAGTTGCTTTAAAAGCGACAGAACAGTGTTTTCTGAACTGCATTATGCTGCGTTCACAACGGACACGCTGGCATGCGAATATTCTCATCGCTCAACCGCTGGAGTTTCACCTCGGCTGTCAGCTGTGTTTACTCCTGTCATTCAAACAGAACGCGCTGGAGAGGGGGCGGGGCTTATTTCCATGTAACTACTGTGGTGGAAACCAACTACGACAAAATTAACCTATTTTACAGTGATTTAATTGTAATACACGTTTCAAAAGGATGCTGAAGTAACTACATACTGATACCGGTTAGTAAAAAACATGAATTAATGCTTTGACAAGTCTGCAGACAAAAAAAATCAGGCTGAACTAACCTGCAGCTGCTCCGTCCACACTCACAACAACGTCCTAAAGACAGAATTAAAGCAACGATTGTATTCAGTTTCTGAACAGAGCTGTGAGGAGTTGATTAAAGAGACTCTCTACACACACACACACACACACACACACACACACACACACACACACACACACACACACACACACACTTCACTGTGCACTGCTGAATGATTTATGTGCAGAGTTTGACCTTTGAAGGCTGTTTCTTCTGCTTTGAAATGGAATATATTTGTTACATATTAATAGAGTTTTTGATTTTTTGATTTGATTTTGGATTTGTGAATGGGAGAAGTAGTAGATGGAAAACATACCAAACACTAATTATTCAAAGTAGAGTATTTTATTTTATATACGGTAATACGGAGGCATAGGCCTATAGGATGATATAATGTTTGACATTATTGATATTAAAAAAGTGATTTGTTTTCCATGTCATTTGTGTGTTTTTCTTATCAGAAAGTGAAGTTATTTATTTGTAAGCTCCAAATCCAAATGTTTCCCTCAATGGCCTTTGTGCCCTGGCATGTGGCCTTTGCGGCCTGAAAAAATGTGCGACAACAAAGGCCAAATGGCCTTGCCCCTAAAATGACGAAATTCCAAGCCTGCCCACGAATCAATCCACAGTGGCAGCACAGGCTACGTCTATTGAGCTCATGTCGGATGAAGCCCTCTCTGATGTATCCACTGCAGGAGAATCACCATCACCAGCATAACCGTTTTCTTCCTCAGATGATTCCTCTACCAGAGTCAACTGCATCCAGTCCAGTTATGAATGGGTCTAGCAGAGCGTCATTGGGTGTGGTTCTCCTCCGAAGATTCAGGTGCAGCATCTTACGCAGGAGGAGGACAAACCTTTGCTCATTGGTAGAGTAAACTACCATGCAGCTGGGTTCAGCTGCATGTGGAAATGAAGACAAACATTGTTTAAATTTAGAGGTAAAAACGAAAAATGGCTGAGATCTAAACCAAACCATGGGTATTCCAAACTTGTTAATTATTTACTTGTACATTAAGAGAAGGACCCTATACCTTCTGCAGGTCCTCCAGACGTCTGACACTGGTTGAACTCCCTCTGTGTTTTTGTGGAGGGAAGCCAGTCGGTATACATGGTTGCCAAAACACCACCCAAAGACCAGATGTCCACTGCCTCTGTGATGGGAAGGCCCATAATAACTTCAGGAGACCTGAGGGTGGAAGACAAGCGTTTTAATTTTGGAATGTTTTACATATCATGCAGTGATGTGATTCGATTAAAAAAAACAAAAAACGAATGAGAACTGGAACACAAACACCCACCTGTACGCAGCAGGCTGCATGATGACACCACGCTTAACTTCAGCAGATACAACGGCTGAACCAAAGTCAATCAACTCTGAGACTCTGAGTTGGTTGTTTTCCATCAGCAGCATGAGGTTCTGAGGTTTGATATCAGCGTGATCACACCAACAGTCTTCAGAGACTTCAGGGCACTGAGCAGCTGCAGAGACAGAAGATAAATAAAGTTGCTGCAGCTGAAAATGGACAATTTAAAACTGGTTGGTGTAAACAACTCATCATGGTACGTTAGATCACATCCACATACCTGTTGTGTGATGAGTTTGATTTCCTCCAGAGAGAGCGGGTTGCCAGGGCTGTCATTGAGCAGCTGGTGCAGATTCATGTCCAACCTTTCAAAGGCCAGACATGAGTACCCTTTGTGTTCAAAGCTCTCCAAGAACTAAACAAGGTTGATCGGATCGAGACCACGGATGATTTTCAGCATGGCCAGCTGGAGAGAAAACATTAGGCATCTAAGAAACCATTATTAATAGATGGCATTAAATGAAATGGGCTATTTAGAGTCTCAGATGATGTACCTCTGTGTGGTGCTTCTGGGACCCCTTCTGAAAGATCTTGATGACCAAAGTTTCTTTGGTTTCCGTATTGTTGCACTCAGTGACTGAACTGAAGGTGCCGGTGAACGTGAAGTCCTGCAGCTGGTACACACTGCTGGATCTCAGCCTCAGATCCTGAGACAGACACATGGAGAGAACATGTGTTAAGCCACAACATTAAGTCAACACGAAGCAACACAGATGATTTTCAGATCATTTAAATGAGGGGAATTTCAACAAAACGATATCAACTAAAAGTTTATGATGGATACAGGTCTGCTATTCTCATTCATTTTGTTAAAAGAACGTTTTTCATGATTTTCTTCTCCTTGTGTGTGTGTGCATACTGTCTTCCTAATCTCACTGTTTTCCTGTTATTCACCTAATTTAATGAACTATTCCTTCTCTAGTACTGTAGAGATGTAGACCTTTAATTTGACCCACTACTTTCCAAAAGCCTTCTAGCTCAACCAGTGTTAAGTTTGTTAACCAAAAGTAATAATAACTCCATCACAAACAAATATATATATATATGTGACATGTTTCAAAATCTTCAGTAAGATCAGGACTTTTGTTGCAGATGTATTCAGATTACACATGAGTTAGAAATTGTTGTGTGCCTCACCTGTCGAGGTCCCTGGGAGCTGCATGTTTTTCTCTTTCAGAGTTGAAACTGCCATGTTTGTTATGTCAACATTTTTGAAAATAAACACACTTTTTCTGTGTGTCCTGTCTGAGCAGTTTACACTCATATTTGTTTATCATGGTTTAACATTTTTGGTGTTTTTTGACATATAGAGACAGAGTTAGGGTATAAAGTTATATCACCACTGCCTTTTGAGGAGCACGTTTTTGTTTTTAAATAATTTGTTATTTGTTTGTTAAATAGTTTTTATAACAACTAATAAACCCTGCAGAAATGAATGCCCAGAAACCAATGGGGGAGGGAAACAAGTGAGTTCTTCATTTGAACCATGCGTTAATGACACCACAGTTTACTAATCTGGTTTTAAACACAGTTGGGAGGGTTACCTTAACAATGTAGCTGTTGCAATTACCACTTATATGTAAAACAATGTAATCAGAAAACCAGTGCCCCCCTAACACTGACTTTGGACCCCCCTGTGGCCCCCCTGAAAATGAAAAAAATAAAATAGTTAATCATTAAACGATTTCCTGACTCACGGAATAGACGGAACTAACGCCATTTGTCATTCTAGTCGGACCCATTAAAGTGTAGAAACTTTAACTATAAGTATCTGAAATAAATATGTGTAAGGCAAGGCAAGGCAAGTTTATTTATATAGCACTTTTCAACACAAGGCAATTCAAAGTGCTTTACAAAAAATGAAAGAGATTAAGAAAATGGCATTTAAAATCAGTCATTAAAAAGAAAAGCTAATAAAATAAACATTAAAAGAAAAAGTACATGGATAAAAGTTACAGTGCAGTCTAAGATATGAATAGTTCAATTAAAAGCAGCGACAAAAAGACAAGTCTTCAGCCTGGATTTAAAAGTAGTCAGAGTTGCAGCGGACCTGCAGGTTTCTGGGAGTTTGTTCCAGATATTTGGAGCATAATAACTGAACGCTGCTTTACCATGTTTAGTTCTGACTCTGGGGACAGAAAGCTGACCAGTCCCTGAAGACCTGAGAGATCTGGATGGTTCATCATTTAGCAGGAGGTCAGAAATGTATTTTGGGCCTAAACCATTCAGTGTATTTGTTTCAGTGCTTTTCAGTACTGAAACAAATACCAATAACTGTATTGCATTTTTTTCTTATGCGCAATTACTTCATATGTCTTTGTCTTTTTCGTCCTGTATTTATTATGCCCCCCTCAGAAAATAACTGGCCCCAGCCTGGCCCCCCCCAGTCAAATTGGTCTAGAACCGCCACTGCAGGGAATACAGTTACTTTACATGTATCCTGAATACGTAATCCGGTTACATGTAATCCGCTGCTCCCCAAGCCTGGGCGGAGGGTTTTATTACACAGTTCACCCATGCCTATGAAGTGGCTAAATCGATTTAGGCTATGCAAAAGTCAATCCTCCCTTGTTAGAATAAATAATAATATCACACATAATAAATAAATCACACACACACACACACACACACACACACACACACACACACACACACACACACACACACACACACACACACACACACACACACACACACACACACACACACACACACACACACACACACACACACACACACACACACACACACACACACACACACACACACACATAAAGCCTAAATCCAATGGTCGTTTAATATATCACAACAGAAAACCAACCATCACAAAATACAGTTATTATTGCAAAAAACGGGGCCCTGGAATAAAAAGCTCAGAGAACCAGACATTGAAGGAAATATGTTACACCACACGGGGGCAGTAATCCAACAACAAATATGTCCTCTTCCACCTAGAAGAAGAAAACATATTCCGGTGTCACGGGGATGTACTTCCTGTGTCGCCATGCACATGTGGTAAACAAGCATATGTATCCCTGGGACTGCAATCATGGACTCCTCAACAAAGTGGAATAATTTACCTAAAGCTCCGAGTCTAAAGAACCTGACAGAGAGGGGCTTCGGGATCCTGAACGAGACTCAGCATGCCGCGGTGCAGGACCTGACCAAAGCCCACATCGAGTCCTTCGACCAGGCTCTGACTGATGGACTGAGCCGCGTCGTGCAGGTCACTTTAACATGCTGTAAACTCAGCTAGAAAGCACATAACAGCTCAGTGTTCTCAGCAGTATTCAGAGGCTTCACCTGCATACAAGTAGCAGTACATTATTGTCACAATACTTCATTACAAGTAAAAGTCCTGCATGATATATTACTGAAGTAAAAGTACAAAAGTATTATCAACAGTACCTAAAGTATAAAAAGTAACCATTGTGAAGATAATGGCTTTTATGTCTGTATATAACTATATTTATAAATGTGACATTTCTAGATAATATTGTTGCATAATGTAGCATTTAACTGTTGTCGACAGACAAAGTTCTGATTGACTTTTTGTAAAATACTTAAATGTAGTGGAGTAAAATTACATTATTTCCCTTTTAAATGTATTAGAGTAGAAGTATAAATTAGCAGAAAATGGAAATACTCAATTAAAGTTCAAAATTGTACTGAAGCACTGTACAGTAGGCCTACTTGAGTAAATGTTCTAGTGACTTTGGTGCTTTTGCTTTAAAATATTTTTGAAATGTAGTAATAGAGTATTATTATTCCTCATAGGCTACGTTACATTTTCTCAACCATACTTAAATACTTTTACTTAGGTACCATAGTACTTTTACTTGAGTATTTCTACAGTGTGGTTACGGTATGAGTACTTTTCTTGAGTAAAACTTCTGAATATTTTTTCCACTGTATATAATAAAACATTTGTTGACAAAATGTGTTTAGCTAGGTTTCTAGCATCAATACTGTGAAAGCTAGCACCAAGTAGATTAGTTCTTTCCCCACAAACGTTGCCCCTATTATAGTCTGTTTTAGTGACTGTGTTTGTTGCTTTGGAAACCCTTCAGTATTTTACAAGGATTGTTTCTCATGTGTTTTGGGATGTGTCATATCTCTCAGGCCATCCCTCCCTTGGAGTTCACGTTCAGGAATGACAGGATCAGCTTGGCGTTTGTGGAGGCCACCCTCTACAGCCCGGTGGTCGCCAAGGGCAACATCTGCAGGGAGATGAAGGTGTTTCCTGCTGAGTGCAGGGGGAGGAGATGCACATACAAAGGGAAGCTAGTGGTGAGTCTGCTAACAATGATATTATCTAAACTGCTTGTGAGGTTCAGGTCAATGTGTCTCAGAAGATTTGAATGGCCTGGACAAATGGGAGACATTCTTGTCAAATATAAGAGTGACTTCACATCATCAAGTCATTTTGTATTCTGTATTTAAAAGTAGGCTATTTTAAATTAAACAAAAAACTCATATTTAAGCAAGCCTACATTGCTACTTTTAACAAAGTATATCCCTCAGCTTTAGGCATACAAATTCTAAGATAAAATACATGTAGGACTGTCTGGCTCATAACATGACAGGGTCTTATAACTGATCTATTCCAGTACTTCTAATGTACTTCTCTTCTGTTTAACCCTCTGGAGTCTAAGGGTATTTTCTCGATTCTTAGATGTTTCCTTAAATCACCTTTTTAAATGTACTTCTTATAATATGGCACCCCATGTGTTACATATCAAAATGTTCAGGACAATCTCTGGTCTTGCTATAAGTGCAAATGACTCACCTTAGAGCACTGTGTGATGAGATAAGTAGCTCTAAAGTTTAACATTTGACATCCGATCTTCGGAAAATCTTCAAAACTCGTGTGAAAACACAAATGTACTCATGTCATCCAATTTTTTGGGTGTTTTAGATTTGGTTACCAAAGTCTTAGATGAGTCTTACAAAACTAGTGAAATATTTGAATTACACTGTATATAAATGTTAGGGATGCACCGAATATTCGGCCACCGAAAATTATCGGCCGAAAATGGTAAAAAAGACCCTTTCGGCTTTCGGCCGAAAGGGTTTTAGCACCGAAAAAATATCACCGAATGTCAGAACAGGCTTACGTTGGTAACCTAACGTATTGTTGTGATGACGTAATAAAGACGCGGCGACCATGCTCGCGGCTGGCTCACAGGGGGGGGGGAACATTGACCTTTGTCATCGAGATTGCCCTGAGCCTTTAACAAATCGTATTAAATAATCTGATGACAGACTGTAAACAGAATAGCTGAAATTTTAACAAACTAAATAACTCAGTTACCTCTAATCATTAACCCATGTTTGTATCATGTAGTTAACTCCGTGTGTTGCTGCTAGCATACAAAACACCTGACGTGGAAACGTTACTCCAGTGGAGCTGCTAGAAAGACGGTCGAACCCGGTACATTCCTCCGTCTGCATGCGGTGCACTTTTGCTAAATGTTTAGACAAATTGCTCGTGCTTACATGCTAAACTCTTATTGCACTTATGGTAACAAGTATTCTCCACATCGAGACGGGTAAAGTTTAACCACACCTCGGAGCGCGTTCTCTCCGCCATCTCCGCAGTGTGCTCCGCTGCATGTAGCAGCTGCGTGTGTGTAAACTGCCCCGCCCCCTCGCACACAGACGGGGGAGAGAGATCTCGTCTGATCGAAAATACATCATAGACGCATTTGTTGTCTTTGCATATTAGAAACGAGTTGGCGACACTAAGACTGCGATATCATGTTTTTTAGCAATAATACATGACATATATAAATGTACTGTATGCATTCAAAAGTGCTGAGTAAATGTTTTATGGACCCATAATAGTGATTATTATTTAAGTTAAGTTTTGCCATAATCATGTCTATTTCCATAATCAGGTAGCTGAACAACATTGGTAAAAAATGTATACATTATATATATATATTTCTATTAATCATTTTCGGCATTCGGTTTTCGGCCAACTGTTTCCTATTTTCGGTATCGGTTTCGGCCAAGAATTTCCCATTCGGTGCACCCCTAATAAATGTGTAATTCTTGTCTAAAATGAAACGAGGTGTTAATCACTCTACTTTCACCACAGCAGGGACTGAGATACATTAGGACTGAATAATGACTTCATATTACATATCAAGGTTGTGTGACGTGTACAAATACAAATTGAGCATTCAAACTTATTTTTTTCAGCCAACAATTTATTGTAAATATGTGTTTTTTAACCAAAATACCACTATTTATAATATTGAACATCAGAACTTTCAACCAACTATTCATTATAAATTAGGGCTGTACCCGAATATCCGAATATTTGTTCGTTGGAGTACTATTCGGGTTTGAATTTCGTTATTTGTTTTGTTTGTTTCCCCCCGTTTTTTTTCTCCAAATTCAATTTATTGAAATCTCCAATATCAACGTAAGAGCTTGTGCCTCTTCGGGGGGTGCTAACACTTAACCATAAACGTTATTGTTTACTTTCTCCGTCTTTATATGTAGATATTACTTTTCTCCGTTAATGTCCGGCACATTGTTTCCATAGCAACAACAACTTCCTGTCAACAGCGCTACCTCTCCTTCAAAATAAAAGCATGTCCATACAAAATAGGAAGCCAAGCCAAATTACACTTAAGACATATACAACTGCAACGAAAGTAACAAACACAATACAAAATCCTTTTCAATTTCAGAGAACACAAATTGGGTTACATTAACAAATAACTATAAAATAACAATACTGTAGAATAACAAAATGAATGCCGTGAATAAACCGAAATACACGTGTTGAAGCGGTTCGCTGCTGATTACTTGTGCGGTGTGTATCTTGACCTGGTGGCAGCTGCAGATGGAGGCCGCTGTAGTGATGCTGGTCCTTGAGTCACGGTAGATCTTGACCTGGGGGCCGGCACAGAATAGACCCTCCAGAAAAACGCGGGCTAAAATCCTTGATTATGCGGGCTAAAATCCTTGATTATGCGATCAAACATTCTGGGTTTTATGTGATTTTATGCGGTGAAATTGCAGGAAGTTGCGAAATATGCGGAAAAAATAAATATTGGGCTGTCTTATTTATTTATTCTCTCTCACACACAACCTGCCACTAACGTTAAACCCCTTTACTATTCAATTAAACACATTCAATGTTTATTTATTGTAAAAGCAATTGGGCTATTTTAATCTCACTCTCTCTCTCTCTCACACACACACACACACACACACACACACTTCTCCGCCTCATTCTGTTTTCATTTACTCGTTCGTTATCTGACCAGCTTCAATCTTGTAGGCTACTCACTTCGTTTCTTGTAGCCCTCGAAAGCGTTTTGGAGGTCGATGCCTCGGTGAACGTGAGTTGTTTGGCTTTCTTCTCCGCAGTAGCAGAAAGCATTTTCGAATCTTTGAATGAATCAAAGTGGGTCGTCACCGTCGATGTTCTCTTATGCTCCAACACACAGTTGCACGGGGTGCATAATAGTTTCCCCCCACTTTCATGCAAGACATCGGGGAACTGCTTTGCCCGGCCTTTAGCAGAAATGTTCGTCGGTAAATGAGATGGATTAGATGTTTTCATCTTGGTGAAGAGAAACTCTCGTGTGAGCTCCACACGTTCACTCTACGGTGTTGTTTACCTTCTGTGATGCGCGAGCTGATGACGTCGCGCATCATCATCACTTCACGTCAAGACGAGTTAACTTTTTTTTCCCTCAATTTTGTGTGGAAAAATGCGGGGATTATGCGGCCTTTTGATAAATATGCGGCTTTTAAAAATCCGTGCCATTTTGCTGATTATGCGGTAAATTTTGCGATCGCAGAATCGCGTTTTTCTGGAGGGTCTAACAGATGGATGTTCTGGCTGCTGGATATACGCCGCCTGTGGGCCACTAGGCCCAGGCAGCTGTGAAACATCTCTGTAAAACAAATTAAAATGTAGGACAATAATTACTACTAATTTCATTGAAATAAAGTTCAAGTAAAATGTTGCTCAAGCACAAATAACAATGCCTAACAAAGTCTCATCTGCACAAGACAGTATGGTAAAATAATCACAGGCACACATATAAACACATCTATGACCGTCTCATCTGTACAGAACAGTATGGTCAAATAATCGATGGCAAAAACATGTCACATATAGCCACTGTAAATGTCTCTGTTGTGGGACGAATAAATGATTATTTGAATCATCTCACTTTTACACACCAAAATAACGTTTACACATAAAAGACGAAACGTTTGCTAATGGAGAGTTTTGTCCCAAGAAAAAGTTCATGACTGTCGATAAAAAATATATATCAATAAACGTGTTGTTCATTTTCGCGGTATTCCCCACACATTGCCAGTACACTATTACTGTAATAGTTACACTTACCCATGTCCCAAATGGATCCTTGTTGTTGTCTTTGTATTCTTCTTCTTCTTCAGAAGAGTCGAAGACTTCAGGTTCTGAGGCTCTATCTTCACTGCTGCTAGTGAAAAACATCTCTAGCGAAGAGATTTTTTTAGCCATTTTCTCTGTCTCTCTCTTTCTCTTCCTCACAGACGTAAACTGATCGGAGACATGTGGTGTTTGAACTGCTGTGAAGCCAGTTTGGCTACAATTCTTGTTTTTGGTTTTCCGTTTTTCCGAAAAACCAAAAAACGACACTGGTTATTTTTTAAACGTTGTTAATGTTTTGGATGCATATTGTTCTAGTATTTGTTCAGGCTGTTACATACAATTAGCCTCTGTTGCTGCTGCTGGTGAGTAAATATTAAAATCAGTTAAAATTGACAACCGGTCCGCGATTTTTTTTTTAATGGATCTGCCGGTCCTTGGCACAATAAAGGTTGGGAACCCCTGGTTTAGTTCACTTAAGAGGTCTCGGATTGTGTTCACACCGACCCAAATGAACCGCACCAAGCGGCTAAACGCATCAGGGTTCGATTCAACCGGACTATACAAGGCAGGTGTGAACGCACCCTGACGTCACGTTGGAAAGCTACACTCCCAGCGATTCCACGGTTATCTGAATCATATTTCTACTCCTTATAATCAAAAATATATGATTTAATTACGTAAATGATGCGCACCTCGACGCGCCGGCGGGTTAACTACAATTTTGATGGTGTTTGTTTAGGACACAATAACACTTTGTTCTTTAATCCCGTTTGTGGTTTGCATAATCTCAGGCGGACGTCAGCTGGTCAATCAACGGAATCCCCAAAGGCATCATCAAACAGTCCATGGGTCAGGTGCCCATCATGGTGAAGTCCAAGCTGTGCAACCTGCACGGCTTGTCCCCCAAAAAGCTGGTGGAGCACCATGAAGAATCAGAGGTGATTCCCAACTGTCTCATCGTTTGAGGGATAATAAGGAAAGCAGGCCCATTTTATGAATCAAGTCCCTCATTTATTTTAACAGGAAATGGGAGGCTATTTCATTGTAAATGGAAATGAGAAGGTTATCCGTATGCTCATCATGCCGAGGAGGAACTATCCCATCGCCATGTCGAGACCCAAGTGGAAGAGCAGGGGGCAAGGATACACTCAGTATGGTAAATATCACCTGAGAGATGATGCTCAGTAAAATGAGAAGGGTTATAATAGTGCAGGTTCAACATTACAGCCTCATATTATTTAAAAATGTAATTGAAATCCCCCCCCCCACCACAGGTATTTCAATGCGCTGCGTGAAGGAAGAGCACACGGCCGTCAACATGAACCTTCACTATCTGGAAAACGGGACGGTGATGCTGAACTTCATCTACCAGAAAGAGCTCTTCTTCCTCCCACTAGGCTTTGCTCTTAAGGTAATAAAAAAAGGTTAATAAAGGTTTAAGGAATCTAAATGTTTACCAAATCGCAATAAGGACTAGTGCAATATTCACATTTTTGAGAAAATAATATTTGTTAACGGCTAAATATGTAAAACAAATAATTAGAATAGAAATAATTTGACTACAAATTGTTCAACAAAACATTTTAGTTTGGTACAGATCCTCTTTAAGAATCACACCATGATCATTCTGATTTGTATTTTACTAGTCAACCTACGGTGGCCGACAAGTGCAAACGCACTACAACGGCCAAAGACATTTCCAATTAGGGGAAACCTGTGCAGCTTCCAAAACGATGCAAATAAAAAAACACAAATGTGTTAAAACACATACAAATAAAGAACATCTTCACCAACCTGACAACACATGCGCAGCATTTACAAAAAGTGCTGCAAAAGCTGCAAATAAAAACGCTGCAAGAACCTCACAAACCAACAGATGCTTGTTGGTATTCTGGGATAGTTCTGTTGGCCAACTGTCAATGTAAATGTGCCTAAAATGTAAGTTTCATTGTCTTATTTTAACAATGCGATCGCATGATTCCTTCAGATCTGCAGATTTGCTATTAGCCAGCTGGCTAACCTAGTCAACAGTAGTTGTGTGCTTTTTGCCCCGCTTTAATTATGAAGCGCTTTTCCTAAATGTTGCACATGTGTTGTCAAGTTGGTGAAGATTTTGCTTTATTTGCATTTTCTTTAATTGCATGTGCTTTCATATTTGCATCATTTCTGAATGTGCAGAGTGAATCTCCCTATTGAAATGTGTTGGGCCTTTGTAGCTAATTTCTAGGCCACCATATAAATCCCTCCTATCCTGAATCATGATAATATTGTGATATTGGTCCAATTAATCAACATTTCTGTGTTCTTTAAGAAAATCGTTCAGCGCTTAACAAGATACATTTTTCAGGGAAAAGAGAAATGTTAAATATCTACATAACATTATCTACTAAAATATGAAGGTATAGTCTCTCTGTGTTTCTCCTCCAGGCCCTGGTGGACTTTACTGACTTTCAGATATACCAGGAGCTGATCAAGAGCCGCGAGGACAATTCATTTTACAAAAGCTGTGCATCGGAGATGCTGCGCATGGTCATGGAGGAGGGGTGCACCACCCGCAGCAAGGTGCTGAACTACCTGGGGGAGCGCTTCAGGGTGAAGATGAACCTGCCGGAGTGGTACACAAACGACCAGTGTGCCAACTACCTACTGGAGTAAGTGTTTTTATATCATCAACAGCCTGATGGGGACAATACTGTTATCAGGGGTTGAGAAATGTAAAAATCATGAAAATTTTTCTGCTGAAACACAACACAAACACTAAGTTTGTATAATTGCATTGTTTGTATTTCATCATATCAAAAGCAAATGATCTGTACATAAAAACCTACATTAATCTGCTTTGTGTGACATGAAAGCTGACCGCATGGTTGTGTTAATTCTCTCCATGCCCTCAGAAATGCATGATCTATTAGCTTTTTATGTAGGTTATTTATTAAAACCTAAAAATGGTAAATGAGATGTTATAAAGAATATAATGTAGGCAGCTTTAAAAACTGAAAAACAACAGATTATGATGCAAAATGTACAACCCCAAAAGTCTGTGTAATTATTTTTGCGTACATTAAAAAAATGTAAAATGAAGAACCTTTTCTTCTGTTGTGACCAGCGAGTGCATCTGTATCCACCTGAAGTCGGGCATGGAGAAGTTCTACCTGCTGTGTCTGATGACCAGGAAGCTCTTCACGTTCGCCAAGCAGGAGTGCATGGAGGAGAACCCCGACAGCATCATGTGTCAGGAGGTGCTCACCCCTGGGCAGCTCTACCTCATGTTCATGAAGGTATGCTCACTGAGGAATGCAGAAGCAAAATATATGTTTTTACATCTTGCATATAGGACAGGGGTGCCCAACCTTTTTTGAACCAAGAGCTACTTTTAAAGTTGCCAGTCTGCTGTGATTTACCAGTCCAAATAGAGAGGGGGGTGGGGTGCTAGAGAAAATGATGCCATTTAAAAACATAAACGGCCGCCAGCGAATCGAGCCGGCCCTTGACGACCGGCTGTTCTATGATTCTCCAGATTCTCCAGATGGCCAGTCCGCGGAGGGTGGAAAATACATACCGGAAGTTACAAAGACGTGCAACGGGACGGTGTTCCCACGGGAAATGAAACAATCTCATCTCTTAAAATTCACAACTTATAATGATGTATTCACATGATTAACTCTCTTACATATGCACGAAACGAACAGAAGAGCGTAGGGCAGAATTAGGAGGGAATTCCGTCTCGTAGCGTTTGTGCACCGTTTTGAAATGCCGCTCCTAAATTACCCTTCTTCGATAAAGCCACGCTCGCATTGCAGATGAGACAGATGGACTTTGAATTGGAATAAACAAAAAAATAATCATCCTCCCACTCGGAGTGAAAATGATATATTTTGGGCTTTTTTGCTTCTGCCATAATAGCGGTCTTGTGTGTGTGCGGACTGGCACTCCTGTTGACACGGACAACAGCGAACTACTGCCCACCAGCCACACCCCGATACATGGGGTCACACCAATCACAAAGCTTTGATGCGTTCAAGTGCATTATTCTGGCACAGGAAGATTATGTTATAGGACATTAACGATAAAACTGAATATTTTTGTTTTATTTTTAGACACATCTCGCGATCGACTGGTTGGGCACGCCTGATATAGGACAAGACTTGGGTTGTCATCCATATAAGAGTTTTCCACATTTTGTAAAAGATGTGTTTTTGGAATAGGGTTATAGAAATTGCAGTAATCATATACATAAGATCGTTTCTGTTGAGATTTGAATTAAGATTAATGTTAGAATTCTGGAAATGTGTACTGTTAGTTTAAGAGAGCTCTTCCTGGCTGTTTTCTGAAAGATGTACATTTTGAATTTAAGTATATTCAAAGTACTTTAATAAGAGGATAAGAATTTTTTTATTGAGATTTGAATTGAAGTTTAATTTTACATGTCTAAAATAGACTCATTTTTGGAATTGTGTACTGTCACTTTAAGAGAGTTTATGAGTTTTTCAGTTCCGCTATTGGAATGCCTGTTTTTGTAATCGTGTCTGGCCCTTTTAACCTGTTGATTTTACCTGCCAGTGACACTTGGAATAAAAGTTATTTGTGTTTTCCCAATTCTACAACGAACATCAAATTGAAATGAGATGGACACATGAAGGCTCTGACAAACAGCTAGATCGTATTCCTACAGTTACATCTCTGGTTATGGATTGAACCCCTGCATTGTTCCCAACAGGAGAGGATGTCTGCCTGGTTGCTGTCTGTGAAGCTCTCCTTTGAGAAGAGAGGCAGCAGACTGAGCGCAGTGTGGACCGCTGAAAACGTGATCAAGATATTCAACATGGGCACGGACCTGACCAAACCCTTTGAGTATCTGCTGGCCACCGGGAACCTGAGCTCCAAGACAGGTATAGTGATATGAGTTCTGTTTGAGTAGGGGCTGTACCAAACGTCTTTACATGGAACGTTTCTATCGAGGGTTTCTAAAGCTTTTAATACCTGTCACCATACAGCATTTTTAAATTGCCACTGAGACAGTCGTCCTTTTTTTCGATAAGTTGAAAAAAGAGAAAACGGTTTCCTTTGATTGCACTTATATAAATGTAATTAATGGTATTGTTGCTGTTAGTCGGCCCTTTTAATAGACCCGTGCAGGTATCATGGAGATGTATAAAGAGAACTGGATACCCTGTTCATTCTCATAAAGTTGCTCAGTGGCGCAGGAAGCCCGAAATGGTTTGACTGTAGGTAAAAAAAAGTATCCGACATAAAACACTTAAAGGTGGGGTAGGTAAGTTTGAGAAACCGCCTCGAGATACACTTTTTGTTATATTCTATGGAATGCGCTTAACATCCCGATAGCAATGAATATCTGAAGTGCTTTGACAAAAAATCCATTAAAAAAAATTTCATTGGGTGGCCTACCTGCCTGTCAACCTTCCATCTGTGCACAAACTGATCTCGTGCCCTCATTGGTCATGTGCGCGTTCGTGTGTTGGAGGAGGGGCTCTGGAAGGAAGTAGCAGATTTCTTCCGGCTGTGTATTTTCAAATTCTAGCGCACTCGAGCTGGTTTCTCCAAAATTACATACCCCACCTTTAAGTAAATATCCCACTAGTGAATTTCTGAGGCTTTTTGTAGCTTACAAATGGTGGTTGCTAACTAGTAGCCAAATAAGACTTAAATTCATCACGCTGACATTAGCCATGGGCTCAGAACAGTCTCATAATACACACATGCACACAAAAGGATTCAAACTTGTATTTCCGGATCCACACTTGTGTTTTTCAATGCACACACAAATGTGTTCTGTTTCATATACATGTAAATAAAATCCAAATACAGAAAAAAGTTTTACATATGTATTTTTGATCCTCACATATTTGTTTTCCGTTTAAATCCTCTGAACCTGCAAACACAACCCGCTTTCTGTGCACGGATCGCTGTGCATTCGTGTGTGGGTTTTTGAGACACTTTTGAGATCACCTGATGCTCCGTCCTCTGTTTAGCGAGCTGACCGGACAACGCAAAATGCGTATATGAAGTGTCATGAACGCAATAAATCATACCCTCGTGGGGGCGCGCTCATGTGATTGGCTTAGAATGAAGGAGACATCTGATTGGCTATAGATAGAAAAAAATACAAGTACGAATCGGCTGACCGTCAGGGGAGTCCAGGCCCGGTTCCAGAACAAAATGACTCAGGGTGCATCTGAGATTAGACATTTTTACAAGTGTTGAGTGGACCTAACACCCTCTGGGGGGTCCTCACCTCCTCTAGGGGGGTCCGGGGCATGCTCCCCCGGGAAGATTTTTTTATTTTTATATTGAAGTTAAAAGCATCAATCTGGTGCATTTTGAGAGCAACATTAAGAGATCTATGGATCTATGTGATCTATTTGCTTGATGCATGCCTTCCCAGTCCCTTATCAAGTATGCCTATAAGAGCATGGCGCCAGTTGTTGTAGCCAGTTGTGGTGAAGGCATCTGACTTACTTGAACCGAAATGTCTACATGCATAGCAGAAGATGGCATCTTTTTTACATGAATATTCCAGCCAATCTCTGTTTTGAAACCATGAGCTGCAAAATGAGCGCCTTACCCCACTGTACAGGCGAGTTGGGAACTTTTTTAAATATACCTGTGCAGGCTCTGTTTTGCCGAGGTCCTCTGGCACTTGTGGGCCGCTGAGGGGTGGCGGTGTTTGGGCCAACGAAGACGGCTGCTCCGCCTCCGTGGGCGAGGCGGGCGTTAGTGTCCACGACAGTGGTCGCCTAAGCGTCCTCGCTCAGGCCTCGGGCTGCCTTGCTGGCCGTCCGAGGCCGTGGCGCATTTCCATTACAGTTTAGGACCTGGGGTAGCAACGCAGTGTAGGCGGGGCGATCAGCTTTGTTTTTGTTCACATTTCGAGTTGTTCCGTCGAGCTCCCGCTGGATTTGATCATCCCCAATGAGATGTAGGAACGTCGTCACCTCCTCGGTCGACCACGGTGTCCTTTTCTTATAAGACGTAGCCATTTTTGTAGCTCATCCGTTTACAAAATGCTGTTTATAAAAATGCTGCAAGCTTGCTTCTAAATATATATGCGACGCTAGGGATGAACTCGCGCGCGATCTTGTGACGATTCTCTCTGACCAATCAGCAGTCGAGAGTGTTGACGTCACTAGTTCAGCCCTGGCCCTGGTCTGAGGGAACCACGATTTTATGAGGCCGGAAAAAGAGGGAAAAAGTACCCGCTAGCCGGTACTAGGCTATATGGAAAGGCCACCAAAAACTGGCCTGGCCGCTTGAGGACGGTTAAGGACGCTTAAAACGGGGCTACCCGCTGCAGTGGAAACGCGCCATTAATGTCCCCATGATCTGAACTGTTATTACCTGCAGTAGATGCAGTGTTACTGCTGGCGATAAGGGCTGGTTGTTTTAACCATTTTCTGATGTCCATCACCGACTGCTGTGTAAGCACCTTGCAGATGATGAATGTGCAGCGGCACAGGTCACGCGCACCTGACATAATAACGTTACTTACCGTTTAAATTGACCAAATAAATGCAGCAGACAATGTTATTTAACCACAATTACAATTTATTTTATTTCAACTATATTCTTCTTATTACTACTATTATTATTGTACATGTAATATTTTTCACCTTTTTTTTTCACTTTTCATTTTTCAAATGAGGGTGCATAACGACTCAACTGAGGGTGCAATGCACCCTTATGCACCCCCCGTAGAACCGGGCCTGGGGGAGTCTCAAAAAACCCACACACGAATGCACAGCGATCCGTGCACAGAAAGCGGGTTGTGTTTGCAGGTTCAGAGGTTTTAAACGGAAAACTAATGTGAGGATCAAAAATACATATGTACAACTTTTTTCTGTATTTGGATTTTATTTACATGTATATGAAACGGAACACATTTGTGTGTGGATTGAAAAACACAAGTGTAGATCCGGAAATACAAATGTGAATCCTTTTGTGTGCATGTGTGTATTATGAGACTGTTCGGAGCCCATAATTAGCCGCCCTTATCTTAGCTTACTGTGGTAATGCGCAGTCATGCGACCATGATGTAGTTTGATAAAAGTTAGCTTTTTAGTTCTAAAAATTGCATTGACGCTGATAAATCCCAGTTAGTTAATTTGTAGAGATTACCCCAAAGCAGTGGATTTAAACATGTTGATTAAATTAAAAAACAAGTGTACTTTTCGACGTATGTTCCAACAACTGGAATCTAAGTAGTGGGGAAATAGACATGATTATGGCAAAACTTAACTTAAATAATAATCACTATTATGGGTCCATAAAACATTTATTCAGCACTTTTGAATGCATACAGTACATTTATATATGTCATGTATTATTGCTAAAAAACATTATATCGCAGTCTTAGTGTCGCCAACTCGTTTCTAATATGCAAAGACAAAAATGCGTCTATGATGTATTTCGATCAGACGAGATCTCTCTCCCCCGTCTGCGTGCGAGGGGGCGGGCAGTTTACACACACGCAGCTGCTACATGCAGCGGAGCACACTGCGGAGATGGCGGAGAGAACGCGCTCCGAGTGTGGTTAAACTTTACCCGTCTCGATGTGGAGAATACTTGTTACCATAAGTGCAATAAGAGTTTAGCATGTAAGCACGAGCAATTTGTCTAAACATTTAGCAAAAGTGCACCGCATGCAGACGGAGGAATGTACCGGGTTCGACCGTCTTTCTAGATGGTTCCCATATTAAACCAACATCCCTTCCCCCTGTCACAGGTCTGGGCATGATACAGAACACAGGCCTGTGCGTTGTAGCTGACAAACTGAACTTCATCCGCTACCTGTCCCACTTCCGCTGCGTGCACAGAGGAGCAGCCTTCGCCAAGATGAGGACCACTTCAGTCCGAAAGCTGCTCCCCGAGTCCTGGGGCTTCCTGTGTCCCGTGCACACTCCGGATGGGGAGCCCTGCGGACTCATGAACCACATGACGGCCATCTGTGAGATCGTGGCGCCGACCTTACTCACCACATCCCTCCCTGCCCTGCTCTGCTCCCTCGGTGAGGAAAACTCATCTGCTAAATCTGAATTCCTTTATTCACACAGAGGCGGGAGACTACAGATAAAAGCAAAGGGGAGACTACAGATAAAAGACTAAATAAAAGAGTAGACCAACATATTGAATAAAGAGACAAAGGCACGTTAATAACATTTAAATCAATTAAGTTCACATCCATGACAGAAAAGAGAAGTAACAGTATTATTATTACTTTATTTATATAGCACTGTATACACAAAAGGTAAGACAAAGTGCTTCACATACCAACATACCAATAGGGATGCTCCGATCGAGATCGGCCGATACTCACTCTCTACCGATCGATCGGTGCTCTCTAAACATGCCGATCGCGAGAGCCGATCGCATGACGTAAAATACATGACACTTTTCTCTGTGCGTGGCAAAACAAGCTCGCCAAAATGGCTTCATCGGTCTGGCAGTATTTCAAGGTGTCCGAAAAAGACAGTAAAATAGCGGAATGCAACGTGTGTGAAGCAGAAATCCTGCAGCTCCGCCCGCTGTGACGGACCGCTGAGCGGAGCAACACACACTAAGAGTTAGACCTAACACACTTAGCTATTTTATCTACCTCTGGAACAAGCTACACTAGTTATAAATATATGTATTCTTCACTGTCGGGTCACTCATTACTGGATCAGTGAGCTGCATGAGATACTGACAGGCTGTCAGGAGAGGGAGAGAGGGAGGAGAGAGAGGGGGGAGAGAGAGAGGAGAGAGAGAGGGAGAGAGGAAAAGAGAGCGCTTCCACTAATTTCTCCCGTGTTATTATCCAAAGTGAATGTAAACTTGAATAATGTACATCATTTGAATGTAATAATTAAGTTGATTGTTGTTTGTGGAAGCTCCAGTGAATGAGCCCCTTAACTGAGTTTTAAACATCACTTTAAATGGAAGATTAAAATGATGTTTAAATCTTCCATTTAGGCCCCGCCCACTCGATCGGATCGGCGATTCCGGCGATCGGCCCCAAAATTGCCAATCGGAGCATCCCTACATACCAACCAATACTACCCCCCCCCCCCCCCCGCCTTGCCAGCCAATAAACAGCAGGTTACACGTAACCTTTGATTTATAAAAACACCTAAAACCAATGGGAGTCTTAAAAAGTATTAAAAGTTGATAAATCAATTTAGCGAAAATATAAGGCTATTAAAAAGTATTAAAGGGCATTTTCCAAGGTATTACATTTTGTAGCTTGTTTTCAATAAGTATATAAATTGTCCAAAGAGGTTGTATTCTACAGTCTGCCTGAATGTAATCATGGCGTAGGTGTGTAGTGTGATTCTGTGTAGTTTATTTATGGCATCCCGTTGGATGTGACGTCATCTGAACAGGACATCGCACGCTCACTGCTTGATAGCTTGAAGGTCCGTTTACGCCGGTTGTTAAACAACATCGTTATGGGGAAATGCAAGTCTGCGTCCAAATGGTTGGAAGATAAGGAGAAAGGACAATCAATACTGTATATAGTAACTGTGAGGTAAAGTGTGTCGCCAATGTAACCGGTTAGAACTCAAAGTGGAGATGAGGTCTTAACATTTATGGAAAGGGTCTTAAAAAAGGTCTTAAAAGGTATTACATTTGACTTCAGGATTCCTGCATATACCCTGTGAATGAGATTCTGTACTTTTACTTTGTTTGACACATTTGAATGTGTATTTCATATTTGTTGTCTCAGGTGTGACTCCGGTGGATGGGACCCCGGGTAAGGCGTACGCAGACTGCTACCCCGTGCTGCTGGATGGAGCTGTGGTAGGCTGGGTGGAGGCAGAGCTCGCCCCGGTGGTGGTGGACTCTCTGCGCATGTTCAAGGTACGTCAACTGTACAAGTTAAACAGCGTCTGTGCCAATCATCCGCCGGGGCGTAAATATTTATTATATATAATACAATAATAGTATTCCGCTGTCACAAAGACTGATACAGGAAATGTTTCTGACCAAAATCAACAACCCTCTGGCTACATTTTTACAGATGAATTATTTTCTTTTGAACCAGATTTCACTGTTTTCCCCGTCAATACCCTTGAACAAATTGTACCCAAAATCAACTCGCCAACTAATAAGTGACCTGCTCCATCGAAATCAGTCGCATTGACCCGAAGACACATTTTGAGTTGTATACACAGCTGGAAAGAGGAGATTCCTAGCTTTCTAATGATATCAGGATTGTTGTTGTACTCCAAATATTAAGCAAAATATGTCACATTATATAATGACTGTCACAGAGTCATCATTTTGAGAAAAAGGCCTTCAAAGTTTCCTCTTCTCTGGAATCCATCGATCTGATTGATTATTAGCAAATGATCAAAATACTACGGAGGGAAGATATTTTCGTTTGGAGGGGAAGCGCGAGTGTGTGTGTATACGTGTGTGTGTTTGTGTAATTTTGCGTTTGTGTGTATTGTAGGGGTGTAACGGTACACGTACCCGTACCGAAATTATTCGGTACGGGCCCTTCGGTTCGGTACACGTGTGTACTGAAGTGTACCGAACGAATATAACGTTAGACGTAAAAAAATTGAGAACGTGAACAACTTTTTGGAAGTAATCTCAGGTGCTGCGTCGCAGCATTCAGAGTAATTTGCTCACATTGGGTTCAACGTGTCATAGAGCGAGCAAGTCATTTCATTGGATGAGAGGCATATTATGAGAGCTGGTCAGAGGGATGCGTTCAAATTTAGTCAGTAATTTGAGGAACTGTCGAAAATTAATGGCGAACGCTGATAAAGTTGAGCTCAAAAATCCTCCAGCATCATTGAAGTCTCCGGTTTGGGAACATTTTGGTTTCGCAGTTACGTACAAGGATGACGGACAAAGACAGGTGGACCGAACCAAAGCTGTTTGTCGGCATTGTTCAACTAAAATTGGTTACGCGGCTGGCAATATAGCAAACTTGCACACTCTTGAAAAGGCATCACCCGAACGTGAATATCACCGGTACCAAAAGAAAAAAGACTGAAGTGCAAACCCAACTCCCACTAGCATTTAAGCCTCCACCACTCGCAGAAAGATCAGACCGAGCCAAAGCTATTACAAACGCCAAATATCCTTATGTTGCCATGTTAGCAAAGCGCTACCTGGCTGTATCTGCTACCTCTGTCCCTAGCGAGAGGGTGTTCTCCACAGCAGGAGACATTGTTAGTGCCAGCAGATCTGCCCTTTCGGCAAGCAATGTGGACAAGTTAACTTTTCTTTAAAAAAACATGAAAATACAATGACAAGCAAGTCATAATGTCAAGCTGGCTGCTTAGGAACTAGTACAGTACAGTTCAAATACAGATTATTTCAGTTCATCGAAAAGCTGCACCTTAATGTTTATTTTATTATATTTTGTATTTTTTTGAGTGAAGATTCACAGTTTAATAAAAAATAAAAAACCCAAAACTAATAGTTTATGTTTTGTGAGTACTAGTAGCCTACAGTAAAGTTCAAATACAGATTATTTCAGTTCATCGAAATGCTGCACCTTAATGTTTATTTTATTATATGTTGTATTTATTTGAGTGAATACATTATTCACAGTTTAATAATAATAAAAAAAATATATATATATATGTTTTGTTTTGTGAAAAAAAATTCTGCTGTACCGAAAACGTACCGAACCGAACCGTGACCAAAAAACCGAGGTACGTACCGAACCGAAATGTTTGTGAACCGTTACACCCCTAGTGTATTGTGTTTGTTTCCCGGGGAAAACACTCACGAGAAACACCAGCTGTTGTTATGCCTGCTGTGACGTTAAGTTACTCCGTTCTCCGCTTGTAATTATGCCGAAGCTTCAAAGCTGTATTTATCATCTGAATTTGACGAAACAAGTTTAATATTCTGAAAGCCAAGACTTTGTTTAATTAAAATCAGATGAAAACAAACTGTAACGGACCCTGCCGTGTTATCTATGATTACTATACTCTTACATTCATAATTTCAGCCGGAGGGAGGGGGGCGGCGCTGCAGAAGAGCAGATTGCGAGTGAGAGGTGCCTGTCTTCGTCCCTTTACAAGCTTCAAACATGTATTTATCGTGTGATTTTGGAAGTAAAAGTTTCATATTCTGAAAGCCAAGACTTTGTTTGTTTAAAATCAAACAAAACACCCGAACCCCGAAAAAATTGTTTTTTTACGCAAATCCACGTTTATTTTTAAATGAGCCGTTGCGACTTCCGACTGATTTCGATAGAGCGGGTCACATATGATTTATGTATATAGTATCCTATCTTTATTTATTTGTTTGCAAATTGTGCGGATACAAGCGGCCGAGATGGGTTTTCTCCGCAGGGTGGCTGGTGTCTCCCTTAGGGATAAGGTGAGAAGTTCGGTCATCAGGGAGGGACTCAGAGTTGAGCCGCTCCTCCTTCGAGTTGAAAGGAGCCAGTTGAGGTGGTTCGGGCACCTAGTTAGGATGCCACCTGGGCGCCTCCCTAGGGAGGTGTTCCAGGCACGTCCAGCTGGGAAGAGACCAAGGGGTAGACCTAGGACCAGGTGGAGGGATTATATCTCTTCGCTGGCCTGGGAGCGCCTTGGGATCCCCCAGTCAGAGCTGGTTGATGTGGCCAGGGAAAAGAAAGTTTGGGGCTCTCTGCTGGAACTGCTACCTCCGTGACCCGACCACGGATAAGCGGAAGAAGATGGATGGATGGAAATTGTGCAGTTTCATACCTTATTCTATTAATTTGATATTGTGTATATGTTAAATAAATATTTTTATATATATATAATACATTTCTATATGTACTATGTACTACTATATGTAGATATTTACCCTTTTACTCTTCATTCTATATATGTTTACTTTATATCTTTTTTATTTGACTTCTAACTCATAGTCAACGTCTTGTAAACATGCTGCTGCAACAAAACTGCTTCCCAATCTGGGATCAATCTTCATCTATTTAAAACAAATTCCTCCAGGTGCTGAAAGAGAAGAAGATCCCTCCTTGGACTGAGATCGTTCTGGTTCCTAAAACAGGAAAGGCCAGCATGTACCCGGGCGTGTTCCTCTTCACCACCCCCTGCCGGATGGTACGACCCGTACGCAACTTAGCTCTGGGCAAGCAGGAGCTGATCGGCACCTTTGAACAAGTATGTGTTTTTTTTGTCATTACAAACTGATAGAGAAGAGAAGTTTCTCCGTGGCGGTGGGCCCTATCCTGCGGCCTGCCTCAGGGTTCTGTTTTAGCCCCCTTCTTTTTGCCCTGTACATGCTCCCATTGGGCCGCTTAATTTGCCAATTTGAGGGTGTCTCGTATCACTGCTATGCAGATGATATCCAGATACGATTATTTTTCTGTTGTTCAATTCATAAAAAACGTAATGTAAAAATTTTTTTTTTCACGATACTGTGTCTCAGGGGATCTTAATATTTAAGAACCTATTAATGTGTTATACCAGATTAACGGAAATAATCTCAGCTAACTGACGATACAAACCATGTTTACCAAAACAAAACACAAGTCTCATAAGAAGCATCTAAATGACCCCTGAGCGAAAAATGCTAACGGACATTGGCACAGAACTCAAGATAAAAGTACCCTTATTACTTATCGTAGCTGCACATACAATATATCCGATTAAAGCTGAGACTCCACAGATTATGTAGGTATATAGTATCATCACTGAGTGATCCGGACTCGCGACAGGGGAAGCAAATACAGTCATCACAACACGTACCTTCACAGAGCTTCTAGGGAGATCGTCTCACCACCGTAGCTGTCAATCTGATCAAAAGACGTGTTCAATGGCATTAAAATGAGAAAAAACGCGGCTGAATCGGTTAATCCATAGGTTTTTAATGTCTATGTATAAAAAAATGATTGAATTTATAATCCATAATTCCATTTTTATGAAAAATCGGAGAGCAAATGCTAGCTGCTAATGGTAGCCACCACAGCTAGCTGCTGCTTCTGCTAGGCTATGCAGCAGTCTCAGTGAGATATAAATATCTTTGCGTTTTGGACTAACTTTAAAATATTCCCATGCTTTTGAAGACCTAGGGCGAGATGTTTCCGTTTGGGGGCTTCGTGCGCAATCCTGTGAGGAGGAGGTGGTAGCCGTTTCAGTCTCCATTGTGTTTGAAGTGCGATTGCGAACTGCTTGTTGCTTTGGGTGACCCACGTGTGTGTAGCGACGCGTCAACGCGGAAATATGTCGTCGACGATATTTTGAAGTCGACGCGTCGCTACAGCACTAGTCTTCACATATAGAGCTGTCCATGGCCAAGCCCCAGCCTACATCAATGACCTGATCCACCCTCACATCACAAACCGGGCCCTGAGGTCCTCTGAGCAAGGCCTCCTAAGGGTGCCCCGAACCAGGCTAAAGGGTGACCGTTCCTTTGAGGTGGTGGCCCCAAGGCTTTGGAACAAACTCCCCCAGATAATAAAAACCTCTGCCTTAATAGAGATTTTTAAGGGGCAGTTAAAGACCCACCTTTTCCGACAGGCCTTTGGGTCGTCGGAGGAGGTGAGTTAGTAGCTGTCTTTTATTGGTGTTTTATCGTATGTTTACCTGCTGCTGTTTTATGCCTTTTTATTCTACATTTTATAGTTGTACTTTGAATTGTGTCCTGTGTAAAGCACTTTGTACATCTGTGTTGAGAAGGGTGCTATATAAATACAGTTTTACTTACTTACTGATCCATATTAGTGTATATTTACATATATAATGTATACATGCATTCATATTTTCAGCAGCTGTGTCCATTTGTTTTTGAAAAATTCCATATTGTGTTGTCTCTGGAACTGTAATGTATTCCTCTTTTCTCTATGTTGCCCCAGCTTTACATCAATGTGGGCATCATGGAGGATGAGATAGAGCCGGGGGTGACCACGCACCAGGAGCTCTTCCCTCACAGCATGCTCAGTGTGGTGGCCAGCTTCATCCCATACTCCGACCACAACCAGAGCCCCAGGAACATGTACCAGTGTCAGATGGGTATGTCAGTGTTGGGAGGGCTACTTAAAAATATAATCTTTTACAATTACTAATTACCAATAACCGAACATCTGGATATCAAAAAAGAAAGGCGGTTTATGTTTTGATTTGTTTTTTAGATTTTTTTTTTAAGAACTTTGCGTAAAAGGGTAGCATTTTTGCATTTTTGACTGTTTTAGTCCTTTTTGGACCAGATTCAAATATTTTAAAACATTTTCAATTATTCAGATATTTTGCATGTATCTTTCTCCCCATAACAATTTAGCCAGATTAACTTCATATCAAATGGATAAAGGACCAGGTTGATAGGAGGTTTTGATAATGGAACCGTCATCCATGTAATGTTCTCAATTCTCATCTGTTAATTTCTTCTTTCAGGTAAGCAGACGATGGGTTTCCCCCTGCACTCCTTCCTGGATCGCTCCGACAACAAGCTGTACCGGCTGCAGACCCCTCAGAGCCCCATGGTGCGGCCCTACATGTACGACCACTACAACCTGGACAACTACCCGAGCGGTACCAACGCCATTGTGGCCGTTATTTCCTACACAGGCTACGACATGGAGGACGCCATGGTGAGTACAACACAAACGTTACTTTACCATAGTAGAAAAATAGTAAATCCTGACCCAGTTTGATCGTATCAGATCGTGAACAAGTCGTCCTGGGAGAGAGGCTTCGCCCACGGGAGCATCTACAAGACTGAGCTGGTGGACCTGGCAGAAAAAGTGCGGGGAGAAGACAGCGTGGTGTTCGGGGTCAAGCCCGGGGACCCTAAAGTCAATGACAAACTGGACGCTGATGGACTGCCATTCATTGGATCCACTCTACAATACGGAGACCCGTTCTACGGCTACATCAACCTGAACACCGGCCAGACCTTCGTCAACTTCTACAAGTAGGTTTCAATGTTTGATTATCTGGCAAAAGTGATTTAGGTTCCTCCATTTTTATAGTTCTACAAGTTATATTATGTGCACATCTAGAGTCTAAACATACACATGTGCCGTCATCCCTCAGAGTGAAATCTGGTTTAAAAAAACAAACGGGCCAGGGTTGTGATCGAACTGTCAATTTTGCTTAGGAAGGTTCCTATCGGATTCTTTAGATCAGCGGTTTTTAAAGTGTGAGGCGCGCCTCCCTGGGGGGGCGCCAGAGAGCTTCAGGGGAGGCGCAGCGTGAGAAAATAATTACGAGAAACAGTGAAATCTAGCTAACTTCCGCTAACTTTATGCGATATTTTTAGTCAAGTTACCTAAAGTGAGAGAGGAGACAGCGTCTGGTAGAAAACGGAGGAAAGTATGACCACCAAGTCTCATGACCACGATTATTCGAAGCTAGGATGTTCATGGACTGGTCCCGGCAGGGCCATCTGTGTGTTCTGGAGAATCACAGAACGGCCGGTCGTCAGCGGGCCGTTGACGGCCGGCTCGGTTCGCTGACGGCTGGCACCGCCCTTTATTTTAATTTTAATAATACTTACTTTGATCAAAAGCAAGTACCGGTCAAGGCTGCAGCCAGAGGATGATCTGCGTTTATTCCCGTCTACATTGCATCCCCGCATCATCCGCCTGTGCGCATCAAAGACGCAGACTCATTGTTCCCACTAAAGTAGGGGTGAGTGTAATAAGGAGGCAAAGTTGACGTTTAGTGTGTTGCCGGGAGCATATAAGGATGTATCCACCATGTTGAAAATGTAAAAAATGTTTTTAAAAAAAAATGTTTAAAACATAAAGATAAAAAGTTATTGTTTAATGTTTTAAGGAGGTGGCGGAACTCAGCCAATAAAATCGGTGCAGTCAGTGAGTCAGCGCGATAGATTCAAACACAGATACGAGACAAGAAGAGAGAAACAGTCGGAGTAATTTCAAATGGCGTGCTCAAAAAAGAGAAAGGTAGACAGCGAAAACAGAGCATTTAATGACATTTTCTCTTACCGGACCTCTTTGAAATGCAATTGAATGCCCCTGCATTATAGCAACAACAATAACAAAATATAATAATAATAGCAATAATAATTGGGAAGGGGGGGGGGGCGCGGCTGTTCTTATGTTCTCTGAGGGGAGGCTCACCTTCCCACACTTTGAAAACCCCTGCTTTAGATGATAGGAAAGGAGCTTTAATACTTCCTTTATTATCCTAGTGTAAGTGCATTTGGATTTTCTAAGCAGCCTCTTTTTCTAAGTCCTGATGGATTCTCCTATCATCTTTCCTTAACCCCGTTAAGTTATGAACTTCACGTCATCTTTGTGATTTAGAGTCCCCTAGTGGCAGGAAATGACATATCATACATTTTAATTCTTCACTGTTTCATTTTGCCGCTTAACTTTAATAAACTGTGAATGTGTTTTTCTCTTAGGAGCCAGGAGGCGTGCGTGGTGGACAACATAAAGGTCTGCAGCAACGACACGGGCACGGGCCGCCTCAAACGCATCTGCATCACCATGCGGGTGCCACGAAACCCGACCATCGGCGACAAGTTCGCCAGCCGCCACGGTCAGAAGGGCATCCTGAGCCGTCTGTGGCCCGCCGAGGACATGCCCTTCACGGAGAGCGGCATGGCCCCCGACATCCTGTTCAACCCGCACGGCTTCCCCTCCCGCATGACCATCGGGATGCTCATCGAGAGCATGGCGGGCAAGTCGGGCGCCCTGCACGGCCTGAGCCACGACGCCACGCCCTTCACCTTCTCCGAGGAGAGCTCCGCACTGGAGTACTTCGGGGAGATGCTCCGAGCGGGCGGGTACAACTACTACGGCACCGAGCGGCTCTACAGCGGTGTGAGCGGGCTGGAGCTGGAGGCGGACATCTTCATCGGGGTGGTCTACTACCAGCGGCTGCGTCACATGGTCTCAGACAAGTTCCAGGTGAGGACGACGGGAGCGCGAGACAAGGTGACCAACCAGCCGGTGGGGGGGAGGAACATTCAGGGAGGCATCCGGTTCGGGGAGATGGAGCGAGACGCCCTGCTGGCCCACGGCTCGTCCTTCCTGCTGCACGACCGCCTCTTCAACTGCTCCGACCGCTCGGTGGCGCAGGTGTGTGTCGACTGCGGCAGCCTGCTCTCCCCCCTCCTAGAGAAACCTCCCCCCTACTGGTCGTCCATGCGTAACCGCAAGACTGTCTGCACCCTGTGCGGGAAAAGTGACTCCATCGACTCGGTGTCGGTTCCATACGTCTTCCGCTACTTTGTCGCCGAGCTAGCAGCAATGAACATCAAAGTCAAGTTGGATATTAAGTGAATTTTGCCGGACAACCAGAAATATGCCTAAATGCGTCAACTCAAAGGAAATTATCTTATGTGTTTTATTAACATGGCTCTTGATATAAGTTGCTGCAATAAATCGTATCCAAAAAACAAACTGTAAAGCCGTGCATCAGAACAGTCAGGTTTAACTAGTTTTAGAAAATGAAAAAGTAGCAGCATTTATGATGGATATGTTGACTTTGATTATGGTGTGTAAAAAAAAAAAAAAAGTATTTTTTATATTCACACCGAGTGTTAAATAAAGATGCTGGACCAAGAATTAAGATTCTTTACTCGGGTGAAAGCACCAACTGCACTCCATTACAAACAGTTCTGTTTAAAAATGGTTATTATCAGGGGCCATATTCACAAACATTTAACAACAGTCAAATTGTAGCTTGGAGAACCACAGAGTGAATCATTTCTTAGAGTAACTAAGACATGGCACCCTTGTTGTATATATTGCAGCCCGTATTCAGTACTTCTTGCACAGTTGCCAAGTAACAAGCAGCTGATAATCATGTGTTTTTCTTTTACCATGCTGGAAATTAAGCCAGCTAAATACTTAATCTATTTAATATAAATAGGAAAATGTACAGGGCTTTCATCATTTTCAGTTTATAGAAGTAGCTGTGTTGGTCGGTTTGATGGGGAATTTTGAGTGCATCCTTAAAAAGTCCTCCTTCCCTCTCCCAACAGTGTGTTTCCTGAGGAGCTAAAGGACTAATTGCTCTGTGAATAGTACATTCATCAGGATATACTCTTAACTATTGGGAGGTATTATTAGAAACATCTTAATTCCAAAAATGTTTCACATTGAGTAACTCTTTGTAGGAGGAATCTTTATGAATACAGCATCAGAAGTATTATAATCAAAACCTATATGAAAGAAAAGTGATCATTCTGCGGGAAAACTGTTCCTTGACACGTATATTACATCATCTGATTATTGATGGGTCACAAACCTAGTTTGAATTCTGCATGTCACATGTTGACAAGTTAAGTAACCACTGGTTTAATATTACAAATCTGATGAATTGCATACGTGCATAAAGTTATTTTTGATGTATATTCCTCATCCGAACTAGGACTGTGAAAATCAGAATTGAATACATAAATAAAACAATTCACTAAAGATATTACAATACCTAAAGAAAATGTTAAAGGAAAAAAATGCTATCAGTTGAAACCATCTTGTTTATTGAGCATTTGTTTGGCAAATGAATTGGCGTAAAATAAGAACACTTAAACTAATGAACAGTAAAGAGGAAACCAGATTAACATATACATATCAACCAGGCCCAACATCATATAACCACATGTATATTCTTTAATATCAGGATTATTGTCCGTACACACACACCTGGTCTGACCACCACAGTAAACATAGCTGTGAGATGAATTCAGTAAACGGAGCCGTACTTCCCCTGATACACAATAACTCACATTGATCTCTAGTACAGTGCTTGAGTAAATGTATAAAAATGCATTAGACGAGGGAAAAAAAGCACCTTGTTGAAAAATAGAAAATAATCTTATAAAATTCCCATCATTACAAATCTCAGCGACAGTCCCCTCCTTTAACGTGTATCATCAGTTGTCTTCATTTGAGTTGCTGCAGAATATGTGGCAGCTCGAGCACAGTAGGGATGGTGAAGTCTGCTTTCACTGCACCATCATCAGCACCCCCCTCACTGCTGATCCAGACTGTAGCCCGCACCCCGGCGAATACCCCCCCCTCAATATCTGTGTCCAGAGAGTCTCCCACCATCACACAGTCCTGAGCCTCCACCTGCAGCATCCTGAAACACAGCGTGAAGATGGAGAGGAACGGCTTTTGCTCTGCATGTTCCCCCCCGACCACGACGGCGTCGAAGAACTCCTCGCACCCGGTCGCCTCCACCTTCTCTCTCTGAGTCTGGGCCTCCCCGTTGGTGAGTAGCAGCAGCATGTGTGTGCGGCGCAGCTCCTTCAACAGGCTGCAGATGTCAGGGGATAGATGGAGGAGCTCCAGGCGGCTGCTTTTCCACAGGAAGTAGCACTGAGCCGCCAGTGACGGAGTGGATCTGCTGCCCACAGCGTCCTGGAGGCTCTCCTCCCAGTGCCCCGTCCGCACCTCATCGATGGATCTGCCGGCTGATGGGTCGAAGCTCTCCTGAGAAAGCTTCAGCTTGAACTTGTCACAGATGCTGCTGACGGTGTCGTCGTCCAGGCCCAGAGAGCTCTTCAGAAGTTCACTGGTCTGTGAGAAACAAAACAGATAGGCTTTCAAATATAAAGACGTGTCTTTATCAGTAAAGACTGTTGGTGATAGAAGCACATTTACTCAAGTACTGTGCTTAAGTAAAACATGTGAGGTACTTTAATTTATTGAGTATTTTCACATTATGCAAATTCATATTATATTTATTTTACAGTATTAGTCACCTTGCAGGTTTTATATAACATAAATCAACTAATATTACCATATATTAAACTACCCAGCCAGCAGAGTAAAAAGTCATTACAATAAAAACATGAATAAAATAAAAATGTTGTTCAAAAAACATAACTTTGAAAATCCATATCCCTGTAAAACAATCGTGAAATATTATACTACAAATGATCAAATTATCATTCTTTACTATATTAAAGGTGACATTCTGCCAATGTTGTCTTTGGAGCATGTGACCAGGCATTAGATGCTGCACCTTTGTTTACTCACACTCAGTGGTGTGTATTTAGATCGAAAAGTGCTAATACTTTATGTCAAAATACTCCATTACAAGTAAAAGTCCTACATTTCAAATTATCCTGAAAAAGGTCAGTGTGTAGTACAAAGAAAAATATGAAAGTCATCATATTGTGTCTGAAAAATGTGTAATATAGTATGTTGAAAATGTGTAAAAAGTGATGGTAAATTATTTAGAAAAATATGAGGAAGGTAAAAGTTTATAATGTCAGTTATATACTCATATCATATCGTATCGTATTTAGAAATATTATAAAAAGTCATAGTATAGTTTGTCAAAATATAAAAGAAGAAAAAGAATACTATAATAATAATATAACGAAAAAGTAGGAAAGTAATTAACTAATAAAGTATGTCTTAAATATCAGGAAACAAATTATAGAATGGTTTGTCGAACAAGTCTAGTATGTATGTTTTAAATATCAAGAAAGTCATCGTAAATCATTTCTAAAAATATTGATAAGACATAAAGTATTCGGAAATATCTTAAAAAGAAAAACACTATTAAAAAAAATACAGTTGAGAATATAGTATGTCAAAAAATATGAAAACAATTCATAGTATAGTATGTTGAGTAAATTCAAGTTGTCCCCCCCCCCCCCCCCCCCCCCCCCCCGACACCCCAACACATATTACATATTCAGTTAACCCCTGGTGGTATGCACATTAACATAAACATGACGCGACCTAGCACCTACATCACCTGGTCGTGAGGAAGTCCCTATCATCTGAGTTCATTTGACACTAACGTTAGCCTCAGTTAACCAACATGTATGTTAAAATGCTAATGGTTCACGAACAGCAGAGTAGCTTTACCTTCTGTATCGCCACTGCTCCTGCCCGACTTGTTTCTATCAGAGTGTTGTCCAAGTCAAACAGTATTGCCTTTACAGTTTGCCCCTCCATTGCCAGCACACTGTTCAGTCTACGCTTCATTGCGGAAGTGCTGCCGGGTACACTGCATGATGGGAGTTGTCGTTCTGATAAACGGCAGTAGCTTCCTTGCGAGCTTCTTCCCCAAGAGGGCGCCAGATAATCACAAAACAAATCGATTTCTTTGGTGACAAAGCATTGACTTTAGCTGCTTCACTTAAAACAGGGTTGCTAACTCTCACGCATCTGGCGTGTGACATACGCTTTCACTCTCAATCTCACGCTCTCACGCTGCCCAAACTATTCTCACGCCAAAAACAAGAATACCGAAGACAAGAAACGGTTTTGAAAACTGTTGTGACGTAGTTATCGTCTTCTCAATAGAACATCTTTGATAATGTCTTCTGGCCAATCAGAATCAAGATAACGGCGTGGTGTTGTTGCAGGAAGTCCCGACGGAGAATACTTTTGCTGTAGTACATCTCTATATACATCGATACAACATTACGTGTTGATAGAAATCAACACGTAACGAAATAAGACCCCACGGTTTGATGATTGATAGGTGTGTGGGCTGTCTTTCATTTTGACACACAGAACAATGGGGGCTATCCACCCGTATCCACAATGTAAAGTCATTCACAGCCTCTTCCCTCTTCAGTGAGGAGCAGCAGGTTCAGCTTTCAGAACAAAGTAACACAAAACTAAAATGGCATTCATTTGTTTAAATATGTCGTGTAGTAATAGATTTATTTATTTTTCTTCTCAAGAGAGTACCAGAATGTGTGCAGGGGTTGGGTTTTCAGCATGTCAACTCTTTCACCTGTGGGGAAATTGCAGGATTGGCTCCAGGTCGTCCTTTTTATTTACTACAAGACAAATGTGCCTTTTTGTTTCATACAGTTCAATTTGGATTGAGACAGGGAAATAATCTAAACCTCACGCAATATATGCTTTTGAAATGTAACATGTCTTTGAAAAAATAACAGTATACAGTTTATATTGTGTATCATCTTTAGCTTGAAAATACATAGATGTGTTTTTTTAATCTATAAAATAAATAAATAGACAGACATTTTATCGATCCCAAATTGTGAAATTATTTAACAGCAGCAGTGTGTTCAGGTATTAACATATTACAAGTTGGAATAAAGTATAAACTACACAATACAAGTATAATGCACTGCAATCCATAAAATAAGTCCGATATGTTCATGAAAACCCCCCAGGAGACACCGACACTAACGTGGCCGAGTGGACTCCGGAGTTTGCTGCAATGCACTGTATGATCTGTGGTGTAGTGGGCTGTCACTCAAAAACTGAGTAGCCAATGGGGACGCATCCCTGAAAGTCCCGCCCACCTGGGAGGTTTGTGTCAAAATCTCAAACAAAAAGTGAAGGAGCGCAAAAGAGAAAGCTGCAGCGAGAGCAAAAGTCTGATCATTGAGAAAGAAGAAACAAGAACTGCAAACAAAAACCTATGTTAAAACAAAGAAAAAAGACTTATAGTTTACATGATTACACAAATGATGTGTTTGCAACTTATAGTTTTATTTTTGAAATTTAATTTATTTTGCTTGACTCCTTTTTTTTCTTCTTTTAAACTCATAGTTTTTCTTTATTCTGAGAAAGTGTTGCTTTATATTTATGATAAAAAACTAATCCCATATTATTTT